TTTTCCTATTGAAAATTTTACGTAGTGGATGCTTACTGTGAAATGTTTATCAATTAATTTCAGAAAGAAACTTCCTATATCAATGTTAGAGAGTCTGCAATATGGTGGGTTGAACCATATTACCTTCCTTTTCCTGTTCTTAGTTTTGCCCTTATTCTGATTTACAAGTTCACCATTAAAGCTTAATTCTTGTCTAAAACCACTATTTTTAAGGCCTGATTGTATATAAATTTATTATCATTAAATATTTTCTGGGTGTGTACATGCCTAAGTGTATGTACCTACTTGTATATGTTTTTTTTTTTGTGTGTGTGTATTAGTATGTGTTTTGAACATAGAAATATTTGGTCCTTGCGAAATGAGACAATCGTTATATTCATCTTCATATATTTATATTTGATTTTAAATTTTAAGTAAACACAATTTTTATTTTCCTTCGTCCCATCCCTCTCCCCCACCCTTTTCCTTTTTTTTTTTTTTTTTTTTCCTTCCTATCCGAATTGTCTGTGGTGTGTATATGTCACCACGAAATGTATCTTTATGTATTAGACATCCGTCGACTTTCTTTCTCTCCTCTTTTAAATCCACCCCACCCACATCTCCAAAAAATTCTCTCTGTCACTCATCCTCATACTTACACTTTCTCTAAATTCTGTTTTGATTTCCGGAGTTGTTTTTTCTGTTTTCATTTTGAATTTGTAGGTCTGATGATTTGGATCGTATTTACGATTCCAATGGAATAAATTATGACCATGGAATATTAGTGTTTAAGCCTTTTTATTATTATATATATATATATATATATATATATATATATATATATATATATAAAAGTTGACATTGAGGTCCCAACGGCGACTGTCTGTTTCATGAATATGCGCAATCTTCAGGCCATGAATTTTCTTTTTTTATGAATTCAAGTTGTCTATGAAACTTAACTTTTGCCGCTGGGTGTTGACATCAATATCCACTTTTATATTTACATACGCTCTATCCCTGATATTGAACACTTTAACCCATAAATACAGCATACCTTAAAATGATATTTTTAAGATATATATATATATATATATATATATATATTAGGTCGAGCTAGCTCGGACATTCATGAGTATATCACACAAACTATCACGGTCCTTCATCAAGGTTGGAAGGTTATTACGGTGCTATTCTTAGCCATAACATAGCTGGTCAATTTAGGTGGTCGCTGGGCGGCCAGCCCGTCTTGCGCCCTAGCTAAGTGTCAAGAGCAGTAGATCACTCGCAAGTTCTTGCTTTGTGCACCAGAAGTGTCCTCCAGCGCGGAGTATAATGCGCATGTCTGTGAACATTATCCGGAAAATTATCAGTAAACCTGACAGTGCTACTGAACGGGGACGGGGAGCAAACCTGATTGGGAGCCCCGGGCAGTGCTTTGTAACCTTCGCTATCTTATCAACATTGCTTTTTTTTAATCTACATTTATATACGCTACAAATTAAACTAAGCACATCTGACTATTAAAGGATGACAATTTTTTGCCGATTTTGACGTCATTCTAGTGTCTTTTTTTTCATCCAAATCCGTGAATTTGTTTTGCTCATGCTAAGTCTTGAAAAAACACTATGTAAAATTTACTATTTTTCCTTCATAATGTTGAATGTATCAAATTATTCAGCTTTTTAACAAGAAAAATACCAAGTTGATGTTAAAAGCTGCCACAAAACATTGTTGATTTATTTAACATCTTAAATAAATTAACAATATTTTGTGGCAATTTTTAACATCAACTTCATATTTTTCTTGTTAAAAAGCTGAATAATTTAATACATTCAACATAATGGAGGAAAAACATCTACTCTGATGTCTCTCTAATTTGTATTTAGATACAGTGTATATATTTTCAATTTTTCTTGTGGTTCACCTATATTGCATAGGATCCATTATTGTACACAATTAGATTACTATAAAATTTGTATTGTATATGAATACTATCTTATGGAAATTGAGATGTAGTCGAGTGGTGGCCTCTGTATCATAGATTCGGTGGGGCGTATCATAGATTGGAGGTGGGAGCACAAGATCCTTGTACTAGCCCTGCGAAGGCACCCACGGTAAGAGGAACAATTTTTCTTCCTGAAAAATTTATGGGCAGCTTATATATTAAAACTTTATATATGGACATAACAATTAATAAATGCTCAAATCTACCGAAAGAAACGTCTGGTAAAATCAAAAGCTAATCTCTCCTTACCGACAGATATATATATATATATATAGAGAGAGAGAGAGAGAGAGAGTCTTTCCTAAAAGTCATTATATACTTTTAATAAACTCCTAAATTTTTAGCATCATCAAAGTTGTCATTACAGTTTTACTTGTTAGACTTGCCATTATGTTCCAAAGTATTGAAGACGAGCTCGCGGTTCAGATGCTATGAGCATATTGTAGTGTTTGTTCCGCGCCCTTGACCAGCTATGACCAACTAAGACCAGCTTTGTGTCCGATTCCGCATAAGCGGGGGTTGGGCAAAATTTAGACTAGTGGTCCGAGTGTACGCTCCCTCGGGTTCCCCAAGTTAAATAAACTGACCTTGTCATCCGGAACTATTTTGGTAAATACCTGAAGATTAGCTGTATACCTCCACAAGAGCGCCTCCATTTTCCACGAACATCAACCATCTTCATACGCAGACTGCTCCGACCTTTTGAAGCATTTTTCCCTAACCTCGCCGTGCGGATTCTTCCCTCAAGCTGTGACAGGTGACGGGGGCTTAGTTGCTTTTAATATAGCTCCATAGAAAAAGTCACAATCAGGAAATTTGATGCTCAGTAAATCCCTCATTAAAACTGGCAAAGTGGACTCTTCAGGTATTTTTCTCCTGTCACGACAGTTGTGTTACTGGATGCATCGCGGAAGAAAAATGTTCCAATAAGAGCAGTGCTAGATATAGCATAACAAACCATCAGTTTCGGAAGGTCTTGTCCATGCTCGAGAATTTCTATTGGGTTTGGTTGTGTCGGTTTATCCAACCGGAGAGTTGAAAGATAGTCTTGTCGCTGAACAATAAGTTTCCAAGAGGTGATTGATAATCATAGAGGAGTGATTCACACATTTCGACACGAGCAATCTTCCGCTTGAAACGTTTGAAGAAGTTGAAGTTGTTACGGATAGAGTTGTATCACTTTCCGTAGCATCCGCTGAATTGTGCATTTGTTGATGCTGAGTTCAATTGCAGCCCTCCGGATGAACTTTCCCTGGCTTCGCGCGAACGGCTTCTACAAGAGTTCGGTGTTTTCATCAGTGGTGGTAATAACAGACCTTCAGCTGCGTGGTTTGTCAAGAACAGATTCTGTTTCAAGAAACTTTCTATGGATAGCGTAAATTGTGCTGTGCGTTGGAGCAGTGTGCCGGTTATAAAGCTTCTCAAATTCGTGGTGAACTGCAGTCGGGGACCAGCAATTTTGAAACGTAAATTTGTGAGTCATGGGCAATGGAATGATACACTTATAAAAACTGCAAAGCTTGAGCTGTCAAATGGTGATAGCCTCACGTCTCTCCGAATGATATCTGAAACGAACAAAAAAAAAAAAAAAATGTATAGTGCCTTTTGAGACACCGTGTATAAGTGTGTGTGTTTATCCAATAAATGATTTAATAATTATAACTGAACAAATTTTTATAGGGAAAGTAAATATTAGAAATAAATACAATTCACAAAAAATATGCTCCTGAAACATCTATGAAACTTGATGAGTGTATTGAAAAAAGATTAAACAGTGTGTATTACATCTATCGGTCTGCTCATTCGAGAAATTTTAGTAAAGAAAAAAATCAGTTTGAGCCGGGATGCTTTACAGCTTGGCTACAGAGAGCATTACTGTAAGCATGGATCTAATTTCCCTTTTTTAAGGAAAGCGTATTCTCTTCTCCCAGATCATTTCCTCGAAAGATTTATATCTGCTCAGTTTCATATCCGAAACAAACAAACACATTTCTAAAGGATTAATGGATTTATTTGCAACCAGGTATTTTTTATTATTTCAAATGTTAAAACAGTAAAAAGTGGTGTTAAAAATAATTTTTTTTTTGTATATATATAGTTAACCGTCTAAATAGATCAAGGTCTGGTCACTCCTCATCCCCCAATACTAAGTATGATTGAGAGAGATATGAAATTAATCCCTCCCTATACTCTACAATGTCTCTTTAACTACCCCTTTTACTCTCTGTTAAATTACAAAACCTTACACTACCCATCAATTTTAATTTCATTTTTTGTTTCATTTCATTTTTGAAAGTGCTATCTGATGATCCGGCGTCCTTTAAAAGGGCTCTGGTGAAATAAATTATTATAATGGCACCTTAAAGTAGTCTGTTTTTTTTTAAAATATTAGCTCTGGATTTACATTGAGCTCTCAGGATTTCATCCTCCTTGGGATTACCGATACGGATTACCAAGTTCTTCATAACTAATTATATATTATATATATATATATATATATATATATATATATATATATATATATATATATATATATATTGATACTTTTGCCTTGTCCCTTGTTCTTATATCAGTTTGGGTTCCTAAACAAAATTAAATAAATATGGTGAGAGGCCTAGACACGCTACATCTCATTGATAATTCCGACGTTCGTTTGGAATTCCGCCACATTTTTATTGGTGACCCCGACGTGATCTTAGGAAGGGCCACATTTTTATTGGTGACCTCCGACGTTTAGGAAAGCCTGATGTGATTTTCATGCGCTACGTCCCGTTTATCAAAGTCCACACAAAGACTAGTATGATTTCCACATATAGATCTGCACCGCACTCCCAGAAAACGACCCGCTACAGCATGTCGTAGATAAATTCCCGGACTGACAACAGCTTTTACTTACACGGAGTCCGTCATGCACAACACTGTACATAGGATTCAAACTTCAGGACCTCCTGCTTTTTCATCTCCTCGCAGATTAAGCCCGGATAAGTACAAATTAGCGAAGGCTGAATTTCAGCACATGTTAGACCTCGGCATCGTACGACCGTCATCCAGTCCTTCCGCTTCCCCACTCCATATGGTACCTAAGACACTATCAGGGACGTGAAGACCCTGTGGAGATTTTCGACGTCTTAATGCACTGTGCCGGATAAATATCCTGTACCAAACCTAGCAGATTTTGCAGTAACGCTTCAAGGTGCTCAGATATTTTCGAAGCTGGATCTACGGAAGGCATTTTACCAATTCCGGTGGCTACGGATGACATTCATAAAACTGCAATAACAACACCTTTCGGTTTATAAGAGTTTTTGCGAATGCCGTTCGGACTACGGAACGCCGCACAATCTTTCCAGCGGCCAATGGATGAAGTCCTTCGCGGATTACCACATTTGTTTGCCTGCATCGACGACCTGCTCATAGCTAATAAAGACATGAACGAATACATAGATCATGTTACTCAAGTTTGTGTTATAAAAATTACTGTGTTGTTGGAATATTTCCTTATTAGCGGAGTTCATGCTGATTCTTTTCCTTATTGATGTGGGTATATGCTTAATTATAGATTGAGGGTGGTTTGACTTAGGGTGTACATACAAGGGATTAGTGTTAGGTTTTCTGTAAGGTAGGTGTTGTTCATTAAGTCTAGAGTTACGTCGAGGAAGTTTACCCTTTTTAATTTAGTATTGATTGTAGTTTTTAAGTTTAGTTTTCTGAATTCACTATATATTATCTTTCTAATTTTATCTATTTTAAAATTTGTGGAGCTCCTCACTTCATCTGTAATGTCTAATTCATGGTGCGCGCTTAGATTGTATAGTATAAATAGACCGACAAGGTCAGAAGACTCTACAGTGTCTAAAGATCCCATGATGATGTCAAAATTGTCATTAGTGTTTTTAATCTATTGGTCCCCATTATGGATGAAGACAGATTTTTTTGCACTAAGAATTATGTTCATTTCTTCCTTAGTTAAGTCAGAATATACAGTAGCAAACTCCAGGGCAGTCGTGAAGAGATCTCTTGATATCGACTGGTAATAATTCACAAAATCTGTGGTATATCAATGCATTATCTCATCCATTGAGAGTACTAACACTGATAGGATATGCATTGGTTCAACGAAGAATGAATTTAAAATTATATGGAGACAATACAAAAGCTCCTTCAATAATATTAGAAGTAGAAATCAGACATCTCCATCCAAATATTTTTAGCATTTAAAAGAAATGAATAAAACACTAAAAGTAAAATGGAAAATAATAAATAGAACAAGAACTTGTAAAACCTGGGATGACCCATGCCCTTTATGCCTACATGAAAAACTACACATTATTAAGTTTCTAAATAATGAAAATTTATTAAACTATAGACATGAATTAACGGTTTTCTGCCGACATCAACAAATTTTCGCATTAAATTATTAGCATGGAAAAAAAAATTTCATAGTCTAATAAAAGATTTAAAAGCTTAACCCAATCACAAGATAGAAAAACCCTTTATCGTCAAAAAACAAATTGTTGTTCAGTGCGACGCGTTTAAGTACGAAACAGCTCTTTAGAAGAAAAAATAAATTAATTAGTTAATAAATAAAAGGATAAATAAATAAATAAAATAAAACAAAATTCTCTTAACAACATATTATGGTGTCAAAAGTAATCTTTCGCTGTGACTGACCAGACAATGTACGCACATGATTGCCACCATTCGCTTTGAAACGGATGCCCCCACCCTACCTCAGGTTGACCTCTTTCCGAAAGTGACTGATATGTGGATAAAAATTATCTCTTAGACCCCTTATCAAAATGGTCACCCCAGCCGTTTCCATAGTAATTAATTTTGCGAATGAACATGCTTATAAAGATGCGTAAAATTCAAGATTGGTTATTCCTAAATTTTCGCTCGAGGATGAAATAGGGCTTGATACTTTAATTCAATTTAATTTTTAAAATTATATTGAGATTTTCGGCTCTCGTTTTTGAAACATGAGAATTCTTATGCAGCGAAGGAATCATATTTTTTTAAAATAATTATAATATATATATATATATATATATATATATATATATATATATATATATATATATGAATTAAATAAAGAGATATGAGCAATCATATATGTGTGCGATTAAGTTCATATACAGATTTGCAAACAAATATTTATTTAATTTTTTGATGTAATCAAAACAGTGCTCAATATAGTTTAATAGAACATTTATACCCCAATATTAAACTATAATAATAATAATTTTAAATGTTCACTCAATATACAATATAGCGTTGTTCCAATGGGATTCAGAATTTTTGAAGACAATCTATTGAAAACTTCATAACTATTAGTATCTGACGATTGTACACACATGAAACTCTGAGTCGTACAACTGATGTAGGTATTATGTACAGTTATTAATATATATATATATGTGTGTGTGTGTGTGTGCGTGTGCAATTTTTTTACGACGAACACGAATGTTTATATTTTTACCTCTTCCATACAATACACACACACACATACACACACATATGTATCAAGTTATACCTATATTTAATGTGTAGTATGTGTGTATGCATTTGTGTGTGTGTGCGTGTGTGTGGACAGAATGTTTTTTCGACTGCCCAAGACATGTGTGATAATGAAAAAACTGGTGCCAAACGGCCTAACAGGATCCGAAATATTTTCTCAACGCCTCAGACTTTTTGACCTTTTGTTCCTCGACCCCTGTCATTTCTCCCATCAACTCTCAAGCGCCTCCCCCCCCCCCGCCAAAAAATAGAAACTGTGTGGGTAGTGAAAATATTTTACTGAGACGGGAATTTAGGGGCAGGTGTGGAAGAGTATAAATGCCTGCAGGCAGTTTCCAATCGTAGACAGTACCGCTCTTACGATCACTCGGCATTCGAGACCCAATAGATGAACGAGATAAGGAATTTCAGTTGTTTGGAAGAATTTATTTTGGAGAATCTTTCTTTGACAACGTCATTTCTGATACGTACGAACTGTGAAAAATCAAACTGGAGCTCATACTTTAGAAAAATCTATGACTAAGTAAAAAAAAACAGTTCGAAATCCTAAAATACGAAGCCCGTCACATAAAAATAAAAATCTTTTTTCACTTTCTCATAAATTTCCTAAAACTTATATATATACAGAGTGTACTCCAAAATTCGCTTGAGGATGAAATGGAACTAATGTCTTTAATTTAATTGCAAAATTCGTGGCTTTTAGCTTCCATTTTTGAAACATGGTTAGAACTGTGTAGCGGAAAAACCGTATTTTAAATCAATTAATTTATATATATATATATATATATATATATATATATATATATATATATATATATAAAACAGACCACTTTTTAGGTTCCATGCAATAAATTATTTCACCACAACCCTTTTAAAGGACTCTGGATCATCAGACTTTACTTCTAAAGGTTGAAATGATTTTTCATTTCAATCTTTGGAAGTAAAGTGTGATGATCCAGCGCCCTTTAAAAGGGCTGTGGTGAAATAATTTATTACATGGAACCTTCAAGTGGTCTGTTTTTATTAAAATTTATTTGCTCTGAATTTACATTGAGCTCTCTGGATATCATCCTCCTTGGGTCTACCCATACGGATTACCTAGTTTTGCATAAACTATATATATATATATATATATATATATATATATATATATATATATATATATGAAGAAATATAGTTTCAAGGTGTGCTATATTTATGGGATAAAATGCAGAGATAAAGCCTATGTAAATATAAATATGAAAGTGAACATTGAAGTCAACACTCAGAGGCGACTGGCTGTTTCATGCTAGGCGCAATCGTCAGGCCGCGAATATTGTTTTTTTCCTCGACTATTTATATATATGGGTCAGTGGTGCATTGTGGGTAATCTATTCTGGCGGTTATTAAAGTGGGAGTGGCTTGTTTATTTATTTATTTGTTTGTTTGTGTGGGTTAATTTATTTGTTTTTCATTTTAATTTTGTATTATTTATTATTACGTTAATAAAATATCAAAAACAGAAGAGAATAAATAATACAAAATTAAAATGAAAAACAAATAAATTATAATTAAATAAATAAACAAGCTTAATTGATTTTTTTTTCTTTCCAGGTTAAACCCATTAGAATTAATGATGGCAGTCAAACTAAGCTTTGAACAAAGGAAATTCATTCTTAAATGCCGCTGGAAGTGTGAACACGCAGTTAAAGCGCAAAGACAGTTTAGGAGGGAGTTTCAAACAGATCCAACAACGCGACATACCGTCACCCGAAATAGAGATAAGTTTGAAGCTGATGAATCTGTTCAGAATGTCTACAAGAAGCGTTCCGGAAGACCACGGATATCGACAAGCCCCACAAAGCAAGAAAGAGTGCTGGAAAAGTATTACCGAAGTCTAAAAAAAATCTGTGCGGCAAGCGAGTCGTGAAGTAGTTATTTCAAAATCGTCTGCCCAAAGCATTTTGTCAATGGAAAAGTTACATTCTAAGATAATTCCATTCTATTAATGAGTATGATCCAGACCGAAGATTGGCATTAGATCCTACCTTGAGATCTTACCAAACAGGTGGATTGGACGAAGTGGTTTCGTAGAATAGCCACTCGCGTTCACCAGACCTCACACCACTAGACGTTTTTATGGGGATACTTAATTCTACGATATGAAACCTGCAACAGTCGCTGAATTGGGAGCAGCCACTGAATGAGAATACATAAAAATATAAAACGAAATATTTGGTGATATTTTCGATTCCATTGCTTCGCGTTGTCAGCAGTGCCTGGATAAGGATGGACGTCATTTTGAAAACAGCCGTTGACAAAACAATAAAATAATGTCTATAGATTCTATTAAATTTTGAAAATGAAATGTATTTTATTAAACGCTGACTTTATAATTATGTAAAGTGTGTATACATTTTTTGGGACACGCTGTATATAAAAGAAGGCCGGAGCGTAAAACGGCAGAAACGTTGTGATAAATATGGCATCAAAGATGAGTACAATAGTCCGAATAATGTAAATAGTATATATTTTTATACATTAAGAAATGGACAAAGTCTGACAATTTATAAAAGTCATTTTTATGTTTAACATTCTTTTTA